GAGAGCGGCAGCGCTGCGGCAGCCCCGAGCCGCCGGGAGCGGGGGCGTCCCGCAGCCCGGAGCATCACCGCGGGCCGGGCATGGAGCCCTGGCGGCAGTGCGCGCTCTGGCTGATCGCCTGCCGGGTGCTGCCGCCCAACCACCGGGTGACCTGGGACACGGCGCAGGTGTTCGACCTGGCGCAGACCCTCCGCGATGGGGTCCTGCTCTGCCAGCTGCTCAACAACCTGCGCAGCCGCTCCATCAACCTCAAGGAGATCAACCTCCGGCCTCAGATGTCCCAGGTAAAGGGCGCTGCTGCCCGGGGCCGCGGGGTAATGTCTTTGTGCGAATGCAGGGACGCGGCCGCTGCCCCGCGCGCGCGTGGCGCCGGGCGAAGTGCGGGGGAGAGGGACGCGCGTCCCCCCTTCCCCTTCCTCGTGGCAGGTAGTCTACGGAGCTGCTCTGCCGAGGCAGCTGCTGCTTCTGCAGTCAAGAGGTACTTGACAGGAGGCTGCCTTCTATTAAAAGAAGCCACAGAGGCTCCCTCTGCCCAGCATCCCCACCCCCAGTGCCTTTTCTTTCTTTCTTTGCTTCTCTGCCCAAACGGCCGGGTCAGCAATCTGAAAAGAGGAACCGTGTCCTGTCAAAATGAAGACTGGAGGAAGTCGGAGGCATCTGTTACGGTTCTCCAGAGTTACGATGGATGGCTGAAGCCAGCGTCCACATGCGGCTGGCCTCTGGATGTTTCTGGGGGTGTGAGCGTCAACGGGCTGCTGGCCTCTGAATGTTTCTGGGGATGTGAGCTAGTCGCATGAGGTGTTTTTTTGGGTTTTGTTTTTGTTGGTTGTTTTTTTTTTTTTTTTTTTTAACATTTATCGTGTGCTCCCTCCTATCCACAAAAAGACAGACGGACAAAACCTGGCATGCGACCGGGAGGACTCTGCTCATGTGGGGAAGTGACAGGAAACTGAAGGTTAAGGCTGAGGTTCTGTTTGTGTCCGTCCCTCACGTATGGGTCGAGAAGTGCAAGCTGCTTTGGGACCTCAAGAGGCCGAGTTGCTTTGTGTGCCCCAGAGCCTGTTCTATTCAAACGCAGAAGGTGGGATGTCAAGGCACAGTTTTGGCCCAAGCTGTAAGTTTCCTGACTTCTGTTAGACAGGGTTGGGCCTAACATAACTCTTCCCTTCTCAGTGCTTGGGGACTTCCCTTTTGCCTGTTTTCTGACCAGGCTTCCATCCTGGGTGCAGACAAACCCTGGTAGCCCCTCTCAAACCCGCAAGTTTTGGCATAGTTGCAAGTCAGTTACAGGGCAGGACCTGAATTTTAAGCACACACTTTAACTTCAAGCAAGGGAGCAGTCCTGTTGAGGTCAATGGGATAACTCTGACAAAGTAAATGTTATTAGGCTGACCACCTATTTAAAATGTAAAGGCAGGATGCATGTCCTCCTCCGTGGGTGGCGCAGCTGGACCAGAGCCGAGTAGAGTGGGGTGGGTGCAGTGACGTACCGTGGGTCTCTGGCACCTGGGGGCGATGCTTGCGTTTGTACCCCCACTCCTTGTCCTTGTAGCAATAATGTCATGTTGCACGATAAGAACTCTGAAGGGTCTGGCCAGGGACCATGGCCCCCTCCCGTCCCCCCGACGTTAGTCCACCACTGGGCAGATGCGGGCTCTGGGCTCAGGGCTCCCTGCCCTGCTTCCCTTCCCCTGGGAGCCCCATGAGCCCCCTGCCCACCCAGCAGCAGCGGGGGCACATAGTTATGCCGTTGCCACTGCTTTTGGGGGTGTCTCATCATAGTGGTGTGGGGTTCCCAGGAGCAGGGCAGGGCAGCCATGAGACTGCAGCAGGCAGCCTGCATCGGCCTTCACCCTGCCCACAAATCTGGGAGGCATGTTCCCCCCACATTGCCCTGTGGGGGGAGGGGTGTGCACAGCAGTGGGGAGCTGGACCCCCCCTGCACCACCTGGCTGCCAGTGGCTCTATCCTGCTCCATGCCCTGGGCTCCATGCACTGCCTAGTGCCCCCAGCCCCTGACCCACTCCCTCTCTCACTGTGGGGGCTTCAATCTAGCCCCCCCCTCATATTCCCTACCCCATAGACTTACCTGCAGGGAGCTGTTCTCCACGCTGCCCAGCTGTATTCCCAGCCATGGGCATGTGTGTGGGTGCACACATGCATGTGGTCCCCCTTGTGTCCCACTAATGGCAGCCCCAGACAGCCCCTCGCAGGCTAGAATGCTGCCACCCGACAAGGGGAAACTTGTCATTTCCCATGGATCCCTGCGTGACTGTGAATCTGGGACAAATGCTGTCCCAGAGTCATGCAGACTGGGACTGGGACTTGAGGTTCCCATTCTGGGACTGTCCTACCCAATTAGGGACAGGTGGTCACCCTAGATGCCATGAAAAGCTCATTTGTATGAAAATTCATGTCTCTCTGAACCAGTTAATTTCTGAGGTGTTGCCCTGCCCTACCTTTTGTCAGGTATATAGGCGAACCATCTGAACAAATCTTTGCAGGAGCAGTCTCAGTCTTTTTGCATCTCTTAGTTATGTTAATTATATCATTAATCCTAATTTATTGAGCAGTTAGAATTAAGGTGAAGTTACTTTCCCAAGCTAAGCTTGATTTTTTTTTTTTTTTTTTTTTTTTTTTTT